GTTGAACATAAGGTACAAATGAAATAAGACAATTAAGAATATTTAATTGAGAAACTTTTTGTGAAAATTCAATTTTTAATATTCGTAATTTTTCATGATAATAATTTGTTAAATTATGAGATGATGTTGATAAAACATCTGTAATACAAATTTCTAATTGATAAAGATTAGGTAATAATGAAAGAAGTATAACAAAATCTTTTGTTGTACAATTTGTTATTAATAATGTTCGAATATTTTTACAAGATTTAAATGGATATATATTATTATATAAATTAATTTCAAATAAATTACAAAAATTAAGTTTGAAAAATTGTTCATCTTCAAAAAGAATATTAAAAAGAATTTTTTGATCTTTTCGATTAATTATTCCAATCCATAAACGAGAAAGATTAGGCATTAAATGAGAATTTATTGATAATAATTGATTTCTAGTTGGAAGATAAATTGTTAATGAATGAAGATTTGAAAAATATTTTAAATTTAATAATGGATAATAATCAACATGAATATATAGAATTTGTTTAGAAAAATAATAAAGAGCATTTAATAAAGATTTATTTGTATATTCATTTTGATGAAGAAAAACACCAAGACGAACATAACGTAAAATAAAATTTAATCGAAAATTAAGATTAACAAAACCATTAAATAAATCTATTAAAGGAATATATTGAAAGATTTCAATAATTAACTCATCAGGCATTAATTCAAATCGACTTAGTTTAAAAAATTCTTTTGTTGGTAATTGAATTATTGATTTCACATTCTTTGTAGGATATTGTCGATGAATACAACTCGTTAATTTACTAAGAAAATGAGGCATATCGATTATCTATAAATGAAAAAAAAAACAAATTAATTAATTAAAAACTTATTCAAATACTTAAAAAAATCGTTTTTAGAAAAATTCAAGACAATTTGATATTTGAGTCATTTCGTTTAGTAAAGACGATTAAAAAAAATTCTTGTTCAATCTCAGAGATTTTTTTCCCATCGAAATCGAGTCAAGAGCAAATTCGAATGAAATTTCAAGGAGTAATTTTGCAACTATTCTGCATAAACTCTCTTTACTACGTATTTATATCTTCTCAAGTAATGTTAAAAACAGTTCCTTGTCACTTCCATAAGGATATTGTTATATGTCTAGATCGACGAATATGATGTTCATATACCACTGTAAACAATCATAGTTTACCGTACTATATGATTCAGTGTTATGATTGTATATTTCCGTGACCATATACGAAGCAATATGTTTTATTTATGACAAAAGATTCCAGGACGATGATTACAGACACCGAGACAGCTAAAATCTATACTGTAAACTATCATTTCATACAGTTGGGGATGGCAAATAGCTGTAAATTGACGTTTGACAGGTGCAATATTACGATTGTATTTTATTGTGCGGCATACAGTTGATAACGGTTATCAAATAGTCTGAAAATTGAGTATTTAACCATTTACAATAGAATGAAATACGGTCATTATATTGCATCTACCAAACGATGTAGAGACTATCTAAAATGATCTTGCTTATTGGACTTGGAATGGAGCAAAAACAGTCGTTTACGATGATGCTTGTTCGACCTGGGTAAATTGAAAATATGATGAAGAAATGATAATCAAACTAACCATTCGAAACTCATTAGAACTTGTCCTTAACACAAAAAATAAATAAAAACTATCCGAATAAACACACCTTATGTATCTTGCTTCATCATATTTGACAGACATATCTAACGTCCTCGCACTTCAAGGCTAATCTAATCTACACAAAAAAATATCTTCAATACAAATTAACTCTCGACTTACAAAAAAGAAAATAACGTAAATTCGCACAATATCATCACATGAAACAAAATCAGTGTTCGTCATTTTTATAAAAATAAGATAATTGATTTGATAAACATGTCCTATTTATATCATATGATATGCATTTTGTCTTTTACATGTGTTTGTTTTCGTTTTTATCTTTTCTCCTTTGAGATATAATTGTTTCATCATCCCTCCATGATGTATCTTCCTTATTGTTGACATACTTTCATGTAGTTTAGCATAAAAAATCGAATCAATATATCAATGTCTGTCTATTTTCACAGAATATTTTACATATTTTTATCTTTCAACTCACAGAAGTACTATGTAAGCATATTTCAACGTGCACAAATTTCGAATTATAATTGGAATGTCTCTTCATATTATTGAGAATAAACAACATAATAAGTTTTGTTTTTTTTTGGTAGATATGAGTGTTTTTTTGTTATTTTCATTAATAAGAGAATGTAAATATTCTCATAAACAATATTTATATTGATCGTTTTTCGAGTTCAACATAAACGTACTTAAGTACAACAACAAATTGTTCAGTTATATTTAATTTTTGTTCAATACCATCCGTTGGAAGAATACGATATTCATTGATCAGTCGAGTCAAACATAATTTTATTTCCACTTGAATATAAAAAGAAAAATAATTATTAGAAAGATTAATAGATAAAAATGAAAATTTACAAAAGGTAAATCTCATTCCAAGACATGTTCTTGGTCCATCACCAAATGGTATAAAAGCAAGTAGATGTCTTTTACAAGTACGACGTTCAGGACAAAATTCATGAACAGGTTCAAGTCTCCAATATTCACTATCATAATGAACAGAGACAGGGATGGGCGAGTCCGAGTCAAAACTCGGACTCGAGTCGACTCGACTCGGACTCGGAAATCGGATGATGTTGACTCGACTGTGTGACTCAAGTCATTCACTCGAAAAAATTTTTATTTGCTTTTATAAAAAAATCATAATATATAGAACTAAATTTTTTCTGACTCCCAATTTTCATTCTAATGGAATATACGGCATTAGAACGTTTTCTTCAAAAGCTTTGTTTCGCTTATTTATTTATATGATCGTAAATCTTAGTCTACACGTATTACAGGATGCATATATATATATTGTCTCCTTCTGTTTTGTTTTGAATTATCTATGAAGCGAAAAAAAACATTTATATGTGAGTAAGCATTTTTTTTAAACACCAAAAACCTGAGCTTTAATCACTAAAATTGTCTAACTGCGGCATGATTATCAAAAAATTAGTGTTTTGATCAGCAAATTTAGCATAATTGAAAACAAAAATAACAAATAGAAAAAGTATTTCGAGTGGTTTCGACGATTTATTTTCTGTAGATTTGCCTTCATAGGTTGTTTCCAATTTTAATTATCGCCTTTATAAAATGATGAAATTTCCAACGTTGAGGATTTACTTTTCGTCGATTACTTAAAAATCCGTCTTCTAATATAGAATTTACCTTCAGCTGATTAGTTGATTAAAGTAGTATAAGTATTTTGCACAAGAGTGCCTGGCATATCTTGTTTAAGAAATGACTTATTCTCTAATTTAACACTATCTCGAGATGAACAAGTTCAAATGAAAAACTTCTCTTTGGTATTGTGTAGTAAGTACATCGATCGACTAGCTTCTGTGGTAATTACGGCTTCGACTTGTCAGTCTCTCTTAGTATATAAAGTTGTTATAAGCGACAGTCGTATTCAAGATCAAATAAGATTAGAAAAGTTGAGTTTCAGTTATTGGAACACCTTGTTTCGTTTTAATTAATTTATGTTTCGGTGAGATTGGCGATAAAATACTGAGGTTTTTTATTGATCATTTCGCAGTTAGACAATTTTGCGACTACAACAAATTTTTTCTGCAAACTAAATATACATAGTAAAATTTTGCTAGTAAACAGATTTAAGTTCATGTTCTGCTCATAAAAAAATGACGCTTTTGTGATTTTGGTGTAGAATTCTACTTAAGAGAAGAGTTCGTCTTGATGTTCGGTTTTGTTGATAAATCTATAGTAGCTATATCATTTTATCTTGTGTAGGATTATTCCCTTCTTTTTGTGCATAAAAACTAAGAACTAGACATCATCTTCTGAAAAACTCATTGTTAATGTTCTTTAGCCAAATAAACAGAAAAGAAAAAAAATAATAAAATTAACTTGACTCGACTCGACTCGGAAGTTTCGGTGACTCGACTTGACTCGACTCCAAACCATTTCGAAATGACTCGGACTCGACTTGACTCGAAAAATGGCTTGACTCGCCCATCCCTGAGCTGATCATAAATCAGATAAATGACCAAATATTATTGATGGAATAGGTGGATAAGGTATCGAACGATTAGAAAAATAACAAAAACGGTTATAGATTGCATAACTAATGAGACATACAACAATACACAAAAGAACAAATGATAACATCAACATTTCTTTTTTTATTTCGTCATTATTTTTCGTCTATTTATAGATCTATTGCACCTGTCCAATGATTGAAAAATATGAACAGATTACCATGATAAAGCAAAGCAAAATTAAAATAACCGACATCAATTGATCGATATTGAGAGATATCATAAGGAAAAAAAGATGATGAATGTCAAATTAAAACTTTGTACTATCAATTTACAAAATTTGACATGAAACTGTAAACACCAATACAAAGAATTTCGAGCATGTTATATAATACTCTTTCGATGGTACGTATATTATTTTCTATTAAATAAACAAAATAAATTAAATGAAAAATAGACTTTTAGAATTGTTAAATATAAAAGAAGAATCTAGAATAAATCCAAGGTATTCTTGGTTAACTCAATGTATTCATGGTGATCATCAAATTTAATATCTTTTTAAGGGAATTAATTGAAAGAATATAGCAGAATTACCTAAATATCTTGTGGGCTTATAAGCAATTTTCTTAAAGCGTTTTATTTATTAACACGTTATCTGTATGCAATAATGAGACATTTTAAAGTTTTCTAATGCGTATACTTCATTATGTAAGATTGAAAACAAAAAATTAATAATGATGGATAGATGATAGTGTCATCTACAAAAAATGTTCTGATATGTTCTTCTCTCTATCCACATATATTTAGTTCTGTCGTTTGTTTTGTTTGTTAGTTTTTCATGAATGATCTTTGTATTTGACAAAAATGAATAAAGAGAATATTCGAAATTTAAGTTTTTATTGTATTTATACACGAAATCATAGTGAAAGTGGAACACTTCAAGGTGTAATTGATGATTTACCACGGTTAGTCTTTTCTTTTTTCTTTTTTCTTTTCTTTTTTTGTTAATAAAAAATGAATTAATTCGAATAGAATCGCTCGAATGGGAATAGATTTTATTTGGCTTCTTCCAATAAATCCAATTGGATTGACAAATCGAAAAGGTACACTTGGTTCTCCATATTCAATAAATAATTTTCGTGAAATCAATCCTGAACATGGAAATCTTGATGATTTTCGTCATCTTGTATCTGAAATTCATCGTCAAGGAATGCGTTTAATGCTTGATATTGTCTTTCGACATACAAGTCACGATTGTCCTTGGGTTAAACAACATCCAGAATGGTATTTAAGAGATGACAAAGTTTGTTAATTTCATTCTTTATTATTTATTAAATTGAATTATTATAGGGAAATCCTATAGCTATTGTTTCAGAATGGACAGATATATTAGATTTAAAATTTGATG